AAATGTTATTTATGTTATATATGACATTGGAGAATGTCTTACTTGTGGTTTGGTGGTTCGTGTGTTGACTCATAGAAATGATGATGATGTAATTGTTACTCAGACTGGCACTATCTGAAAAAGTGCAAGCTCAATTATATGAACAAGCACATAATCATACTTACAATTCTATAGCACACCTTTTAGAAAAATCAAAGTAAGATTCTTTTCACTATATGTCCGAAATGTTAGGAAAATTCAGACAGCAGGCAACACAATGAGTGGTTGTTTAGGAACATTTACCCTTAAAGCTTCCCTTAATTTCATAGGTAGGTGAAGAAATCAACTTATCAAGATAAAGAAGGGCTGCTATTCTACTTGAATTTCTTAAGAGTGTTCCTTCTTATCTCTAGTCTAGCATGCAGGATGTAAAGAATCTCACATTTATATGCATGGGTTGGTTTCTCACTCATGCATATATCCCAGAATGCATAATGCATCACTGGATGCTGCTTTGTGCCATGATTACAATGACACCTTGTGTTACTCTGTGATGCACTATGAAATGCCCAAAATGATTAGTCTTAATGTGAAGTAGGTCCAAAATTCATGGCCTGAAAATACTAAAGGGGATTACTTCACTTGCTATGTGGGTATCTCCTTCTATAAGATTCTCTTAGCTCTTCAGTGGGTTAATATAGTGTAACTATCATGATGTCAAGGTTAATGACGGTTGCCATTTATTGAACCCTCACCATTTACTAGCATCTGTACACTTGCTTATGTATCTTATTACATTTGATCTGCTTAACAGCTGGTGTGTATCTTGATTACTATTTTCAGATGAGGAACCTGCATCTTTCAGATATTATGTAACTTAGCATCCTGTGAAAATACAGATTGATTTGGATCTAAAACTCATACTAAGCACTAAGCTATTCTCCTCTCATAATCTAAGTTATATGAACATGACAAAAGACTAAGCAATTTCTGAGTTGCTCTCAGAGTGGTCAGATAGAGACTGCTTTCAGCTATTTTTTTCTGCTGACTATTAAGATCGCCTATAGGGAGCTGCAACAGTGCTCAGAAGAAAGGCTGCAGCTTAAGGCGGTGTGAAGCAAGAGCAAAAAAGAAGATTGGCCAGACTGTTTGCTATGCCTATACCTGTGATACCAGAGTTGAAACTCAAAAGAACATCAACTCAAAGGAAAATTAAGTCAAAAATAAGATAATGAAACACACGTGCGCGTGCGCACACACACACACACACACACACACACACACACACACACAATAAATATGAGTGAAAGAGTTGAAACTCAAAAGAACATCAACTCAAAGGAAAATTAAGTCAAAAATAAGATAATGAAACACACGTGCGCGTGCACACACACACACACACACACACACACACACACCAGATAAGTGTCAAAGCAACTGCTGAAACCAAAGAAGAAGAAGAGGTCATTAAAGAATACAACAATGAACATGCTGAAAATGGAGAGGCCAAAATCATAGAGGCACCAACTCCTGAAAAAGAAATCAAGGGAATAAAAGAAGAAAAAATTGAAGATGCCAAAGAGGAAGGGAAAACTAAAGAAAATGTGGCAGCAGAAGGAAAAGGAGACTAAAAAAAGATCTAAAAGAGGATGAAGTAGATCCAAACAAAGAAGAGAAAAGAGAACCCAAAAAGAGGACACAGATGAAAAAAAGAGAGAAGAAAGTAGAAAAGAAAACAAAGATGGAAACAAGAAAGGAGAAGATGGAAAAACGGAAGATGAAAACAAAGGTGAAGACAGAGGAGGGGAAGAGAAAGATAAAAAAGAATCAAAAGTCATTTAAAGAAAAGAAAATAGAAAAGAAAACCAAGATGGAAAAAGGAAGAAGATGCAAAGATAAAAAGGAGGAGAAAAAGGGAAAAGCAAAGAAGATGATGAAAAAGAGAAAGATGGAAAGGAAAGTGACCATGGAAGTGAGGAAGAGGATGGAAAAGAGAAAAAAGATGGAAAAGATGAGGAAAATGAAAAAAATAAAATGAAAAAGGAGATAGGAAAGACAGAGAAAGTGAGAATAAGCTGAAGTTGGAAAATAAATAAAAAAAGAAGGGGGTCAAGAAAGAAGATGGAAAAAAATAGAAGTCTCTGAGTATTGTCTAAAACTGCCCTTAACTGTTTTGTAACTTGGTAAAATGTACCTTCATGTCATAATGTTAATAGACATAAATATACTTATCAAATATTTTATAAACATAACTTTTCTTTATTATTTATTTAATGTTGGAATGTCTTGATGCTGATGATTACCCACAAAGTTCCTAACATGAAACCTTTATCGATAAATTTTGTGATTAGAGTGCCGGTGTATATAGCAAAATATACTTTCAACTTTGTCAGTACATTTCACTTGGTGTAAGTTATGTATTAAATCTTTGAATTTTAATTCTGCTCCTACATGTGTGATAATTCCACAAAATTAAGGATTTTCATCCAATATTCCTGTGGTTCTCTAACTGCTTTTATAAAAAAGCTGAGCTATTTTCATATAATACTAAGAATCAGAATTATCTTTCCCAAATATAACTTTATTATTAGCTTGTGAAAAAAAATCTTGTACTCTCATTATTAAAAGAAATGCAAATATTTATTTTAGAAGGGCAATTTTGGTTATATGTGTATGTACAAAGTTTTACTTGATTCATCATAATAAAAAGACTCTTCAAAAAATTAAAAAAAAGTGAGCAATTTCCAAGTAGAGTCCACTTTCACTTCCAACAGAAAGTGAAACATGTCCAGTGACGACAGATATGCATAATCTGCGCTCACTCCAGTAAAAAGAAAGAGAAAGGAAGATAATGTATTTGTTAAATAGCTTCATTTAGTCACTATGTATACACATAGGAAAACATCATGTGGAACATCATAAATGGCTGTCATTTTTACTTACCAATCTAAAATAAAGAAAGAAAACGAGAACAGGATTACAACAAAACAAAATCTACATGAGCAAAAAGAGGCAAGAAGGTGGACTTGCCTGAGCACCAAACAAAATCTCTACCAACACCTTTTGAAATCCTTGTCTCTGAATCTCTCGGAATCAGTTACCTCATCCCCCTGAAAAGATGACAGAGCAGGCCTCTACTTTACCCTGCCATGGGCAATGTCCCTTTCTAGCCTTAACTCCCACGCTTGGTCACACCCTGACATCCGGTCATCTTTTCATCTCAACCTGGGAAGGCCTTTCTGAGTCCTTTTCATCTTTCCAAAACTTTCTGTAGCGGACACAGACAAAATTCTCACAGCACTCTGGACTCTTCTTATCATCCAAGATATGAAATGACTTCATGCAGCTGACCACACCATGAACTCCTGGAGAACCAGGGGCCGGGCATCATTTCATCTCCCTCTTCACTGCAACAACCCTCTTCCCAATAAAAGAACCTAACAGGTGGATCACACAAACTACACTGTCAATGAACATAGAGTAGAAGAGAAGGCATGATTCATGGCTTTCACTCCATCCTACTAAATGTGTAGTATTCTTTTTTTTGTTTTGTTTTGTTTTGGTGAGGTTTTTGCTATAGGGCTCATGCGCTCACCAGAAAGACAGAGAGAGACAGAGAGACAGAAAGTGAGAAATCACCCCCCAGGGGAGATGGCCACGCCGCAATCTCTTCTCCTCCATTCTCCTCTCGGGATCTTGGGCACGCACGCACACACGCCTGGTGTGAGTTTAAGCCACCAGGTCCTGGACGTGAACTGTGGTCAACTACATGGGAGTCCAGCGACATAGCCATTACGCTAACTGCTGATCCCCTCTCTTTACTTTTTAAAGCTGCCTTTTATCCTCCTGTAAAATGGGGGAAGTTATACCTATCTAACAAGGCCATTGAACGAGATGGTGTTGATAAAGTTTTTTTGTTTTTAAGAGATTTTTGCTATAGGGTGAGTGAGCTGGCTAAAGAACACAGAGAGAGAGAAAGTGAGAAATCCCCTCTCCCCAGGGGGGAGGGCCATGCTGCAATCCCTTCTCCTCCATTCTCCTCTCTGGTCTTGGGCATGCATGCACACCCACCCAGTCTAAGTTTTGAGACTCTGCGTTCGGGTGCAAACCACGGTTGATGTAACTATTATGCCATCTGCTGGTCCCAGTGTAGGTAAAGTTTTAAGTGCGTAATTTGGCCTCAGCAAATGATCCACAAATACTCATTTTGGTGAGGACCCTGGGCCACTAAAGGAGAGGGAAATGGTTTGAAATTTTGGCCTTTGATTGTGATGGAGGCCCTCACCCAGTAAACTGCTCACTGGGGGTCTCTCTCTCTCTATCTCTCTCTTTCTCTCAACAACTTCAGACATCAGGCTGTCATCGCCAGGTTACTCCTGGTCTTACAGTCCTTTAACATGTTAATAGAGAACTTTATCGTTTTGTTTTGTTTTGTTTTGTTTGTTTGGTTTTTTTTTTTTTCCTTTTTGCTATAGGGCTGAGAGAAACAGAGAGAGAGAAAGCAAGAGAGAGACATGGCAGGCAGGGGTCAGTCAGGTGAGGGAGGGCAGCGGGGGCCACACCAGCAATCCCTTCCCCTGCATTCTCCTGTTGGGATTTGGGACACACAATCACATGTGCCCATGTGTCTTCCAAGCCACCATGTGGGCACTCCAACTGCGAAGTCGTTGGCCATGTGGAATCCAGCCACCATAACCACATTGCCACTGGTTGACCCCAACTTTTCTTTTCAATCCCTGCCTTTGTCGGGTTAAGGGAACCAAAGATTATACTGAGGATTTTCAGAGAGTTTGAAACTAGGAGTCCTGGCAAGTATTAGCTATTGTGGATCAGATATATATATATTTTTCTCCTTGCAGCCAGATAGAGGTCTAATTTCCCTTTCCTCCCAGCCGCTCTCTTCGCACGAAGGAGGTGGGGCGCCTGCCATCCGTGTGTGGTTGGGGTAATAACTCCGGGGCGGCCTCCCGCCTCCACCCACTGCCGTGACGTCAGGCTGCGGCTCACAGGTTGCGGCTGTCAGGCTGCGGCTCCCGCCCTGGCAGGTTTATAAGGAGGCAGGTGCGCGCCGCGCCTATGGAATGTGCGCACACCTTAGTGCCTGCGCCCGGTCGCCGCCCAGGGATCCCGAGGCTAGCCCAGCGTCCCATCCACCGCCCAGAGCCAAGCCTCGAACACAGCGGCACACTCGTCCTTCTCGCGTCTCTCTTCCACCACCTTCTCCAGCTGCCCGTAGCTCCGCTCGGAGTTGCCGCAGAGACCCGGACGCCGACCGCGAGGAGCCAATGAAAGCCCCGCTGCTGCCGCCCGCGCCCGTGCTGCTGTCGCTCCTGATCCTTGGCTCAGGTGAGCATCTGCCGGCTCTGAACCGTCCAGCGCGTCTCCCGCGATGGCGGATAAAACCTGTGGCCTCTTGAAATTCTGCTGCAGTTTTCCCACCACGTCCTTTGGCATCCCCAACCCCGTCCCGCGGGAGGAGATCGCGTTGGCTCCCTCCCTAAGGTCACTCCCTAGAAGGGAGAAGCGGACAGGTGTCTCAGACGTCCCAGACAGAGCAGGGTGCCGGAGCGACTCCCTGCGCTTTGGCTTTAGTTCAGCTGGAGACCTTAGCGAGCGTTTGATCCTTAACCTTGAGTCTTACGGATACAGAAACAGAGGTCCAGGGAAGTGATGTCCGCAATTCTTAAAGTAATTCATTCTTGCACCCAGGAGGGATTTCTGCCTCCTGCCTAAGTTCACCATCTTTTCTGCCTAGTCATTTTATTTTTACTTTCCAAAAGGGACAGTTTTCCAAGGAGAGGTTAAAAGGATCACGCTGATGCTGTCTTACTGAGACCTAAAACCCGAAGCAGGGACTTGAAAGTCTGGGCCCCAAACTTTTTTACCCAGGAAAACTTTACCCAGTATTTATATCTAGACCTTACTACAATGGGACAGGTTCGCATGGTAGCAAACACAAATGCATTTGGAAGGTGAGGTGATGAGGATATTTAGATATGACCTGTAAAGCGATTGTATTAGATTCATTTGCCTTTGGTAGGATTTTTTTCCCCTTTCATCTGGAAATTAACACAAGTGATCTAGAAAGCCTTGATAAAAGGAACTCTGTCATTGGAACAGCTGAGCTCGCCTGCTGGCAAGATGCGAAATTGCTTTCCTCAGTGACTCAATCACGAAACAATAGCACATGTGCAATAGCTGCTTTTGATATCAAAAGATAAACATTTCTACCTAACGCAGCTGACGGGTGAGAAAGGCACCCTGCTTTACTTTTTCTTCTCTTCTTTCCCCTGCAGGTCATTGTACTGCTGGACTGGACCTCAATGACACCTCCTCTGGGAAAGGGGAATCATTTTCTGGAGACCACCGTGCCTTTGAGGTCACCTCAAGAAGTGAGATGTCATCAGGAAGCACGATTTCCCCTGGGAGTGAAGTGCCTCCTGGTAGCGAACTGTCCTCAGGGCCTGACTATGACTATTCGGAAGAGTATGACAACGAACCACAAATACCTGGCTACATCGTAGATGATTCAGTCAGAGGTGAGTAGAGGATAAAGCAAAAATGTAGCCTCTGAGATGTGGGTTTATATGGGCAAAACTGCTCCAGCAGAAAAACCACACCCCAGATTTTCAAGGGCCTTTCCTATGTGTATGCCTATTGCATACCCCCTAGGTTAACAGAGATAGCGAGAACTCTCTGTGGGTGCATCCTGTCTGCCCAGAGTGCCAATGAATATCTTATGTCTCTTAAATCTAATCTTCACAATGACTTTATTAGGTGGGAATTGTTCTCAATTTTTAGATGTGAAAATAAGCTTGGAAAGGTGAGTGGTTTTGCCCACCATTGGACAGGTAGCGGGCAGATGAGCTAGAATTAGACTTTGGTTTATTTGAACACAATTCCAGATCCTGTGTTCTTTCTCATGAGACCACATGACACCCATCTGAGAGGCAGAGGTGGACTTCGCTATTCTACCTACTTTGTATCTGAGCTTTTGTTTCCCTCTCACATCATCCTCCCTCAAACTCTGCATTCATCCTAAATAAGGCAGCAGAAGAAAGTAATGGGGCAGCAGAAATTGGACTTTAGTCTTTAACTCCTAAGTGTGGAGAAACTGATAATAATAATAAGAAGAATGCCTTCTGGAGATATGAAAGAGGACAAATACGCATGAATTTGATATTGCTAAAATTAAGATTGAACTGTCTTATTTAAGTAATAGACATCCAATGATTTCTTTCACTTTTGCCATTGTCTGATCTATTAAAGAGACCCTGCTTGAGATGAGAGATCAACAGAAGAGATAAATATTGTTCATTTCTCTTGGATTACTTTACAATTTGAGGAATGAGGAGGTGATCAGTAATTTAGATCTAAATATCCTAGGAGCATCTGGTATAGAGATGGGGAAAGATAGTTTCAGGGCTCTTCAAGGCCTTTTTCTTTTTTCCTGGTCTGTTTCTCTGACTCCTCCCCTTCTACCTGGCTCCCAGAGCTGGTGAAGGGAGAGCAAGCAGTATCAGAAGGACAGTGACTGGGGTCAGTGCCAGGTGAGAAAAGCTTTAGTGAACACTCCATTTCACTCCTTTGCTTCCAAACTTGTGCTTTAATGTGAGATGAGAGAGGGGCCCATTTATAATTCTTATCTTTGGAAGAGCAAGGTTAGACCATCAAGGTGTCTAGAAACTGCTATCTTGAAGATGTTTCAGGTAATTAACATTTCATAAGACTGGGGAAATTGTTAGTGGTGCAAATGGCTAGTGCCCCAAATTGCAGTGCATTGTGAAATAGAGTGAAAACGTTGATTGAGTTTCTTTGAAAGGCAATTAAATATCCACAAGGTTTGTGTCTATTGTGACACTTCAACAAAGTGCCCGTTATTTGTCTCTGTCTATAATGTGTAATTTCCCTGATAAAGGGCAGTCATATTCATTTAAAATGATTTTCTTAGAGAGCTTATTCTAACCTGTGCTTTTTTATTATCAGAGGAAAGTTTCAATAGAAAAGTCATATAACAATCTATTAAACATTGCTCCTAATTTGACTTTGACCAATGTTTTTTTCTTTTCTTTTTCTTTTTTTTTAGTTTTTGCTATAGAGCATATGTGCTCACTGGAGAGAGACAGAGAGAGAGAGGGAAAGTGAGAAGTTGCTCCCTGGGGAGATGGCCATGCCACAAACTCTTCTCCCTCACTCTCTCAGGATTTGGGACATACACACACACACACACACACACATACACACAGCATGATTTTCGAGCCACTGGGTCTGAGACTCAAACTCTGCAGTCAGACATATGAGATCCAGTGCCTTAACCTTCACATCACCTGCTGGTCCACCAATCTTATTCTAACAGCCTGCAAAAATATGTATATTTATTTGTCATTTCTTTAATCTATCTTTGATAGCCTATGTTATCCTTCACTGTGTTTCTAATATTTTCTGTTTAAAGGGCACTGAATGACAGCTATGACTACTGGTATTTTCTCTTTTCATTCAGCTCTGCTTGCTAAATACTTGCTCAGATAAACTTGTTCAGGAATTAGTTTAAAAAATGCACAGTGCCAGGGCTGGCAGGTGGCATGGTGGTTAAGGCACTAGACTCCCACATGGCCAATCATGGTTCAAGTCTTGGACCTGTTGGCTTGCTTTCTTTCTCTCCCTTTCTCTCTGTCTGTCACTCTGGTCAAAATTGAAGGTAACAAACACTTAGTGCCAACATGGAAGCCCCCTTCCTATCTTTAGCATGTGGGTAAACCACACTTTGTGTAACTATAAGACTGAACAAAAATTTCTGTGGATCTGATGAGTTAAGATAAATCTCAAGTATATTCTGGAATTCTGTTTTCAGATAGATTGACCACAGAAATTGGCACCCTGGAAAGTATTGATTTAATTATAATTTTTGTAATGTGGGAATTGAGAAAATTGGTTGACTCTCACATGTGATTCTCAGTTTTTTCTTTCAAGTAGTATCCACTATTTCTCAACTATGATAGTGAAAGCAAGGCCAGTAAATAAAATCATTAAAAACAAGAGACTTCAAAAAAGTTTGTGAAAAAAAATGGAATTAAAGTGAAAGTTTCTCATGATGCAAACAATTTTTGAAATCCATGCATTTTTTTTTCCTATAAGGTGCAGATGCTCACCAGAGAGAGAGTGAAAGAAAATGAGAACTCTCTCATAGCAGGGTATAGTCACACCACAATTCCTTCTCCTCCATTCTCCTCTTGTGGATCTGATGAGTTAAGATAAATCTCAAGTATATTCTGGAATTCTGTTTTCAGATAGATTGACCACAGAAATTGGCACCCTGGAAAGTATTGATTTAATTATAATTTTTGTAATGTGGGAATTGAGAAAATTGGTTGACTCTCACATGTGATTCTCAGTTTTTTCTTTCAAGTAGTATCCACTATTTCTCAACTATGATAGTGAAAGCAAGGCCAGTAAATAAAATCATTAAAAACAAGAGACTTCAAAAAAGTTTGTGAAAAAAAATGGAATTAAAGTGAAAGTTTCTCATGATGCAAACAATTTTTGAAATCCATGCATTTTTTTTTCCTATAAGGTGCAGATGCTCACCAGAGAGAGAGTGAAAGAAAATGAGAACTCTCTCATAGCAGGGTATAGTCACACCACAATTCCTTCTCCTCCATTCTCCTCTTGGGATTTTGGGCACACACACACATTCACCTAAGCTACCTGGCCTGAGACTTGAACCACACAGTTAGCCATGCATAGATTTTTTTTGGTAGTATGCATTTTCCATGAACTTTTGGAAAACTCCTGTATATGCCTAATCTCATTTTAATTAATGACATTGACTTTTTCCAAGTAGGTAAATAACAGGTTTGACATTTTATTTAGTAGCTGCTTGTTTTAGGGAAGATTACTTGTTTTTACTGAACTTCAGTTTTATCTATTAGGTCATGGGGAAAGTCATAATATATTTTTCTATGAGAAAATATGTCATGACTTTCCTGACAACCCAATACATCATGTAGGTAGCAATAGATACAAATCTGGTTTGGATTTAATTAATACTCATTGCCAAGAACTTGGTATGTATCAGAAATTCAAGAAATGTTTAAAATATTGAATGAATTTTCTTAGACACATAACTCCTACTAATGATAATGATGCAAACCAATTTGAAATATGTTTATGCTAATAAAATAAGTAAGATTTAGATTTTTAAGTGCCATGTAACACAGATATTCTCTTTGCCCACTTGTTTATATTTATTATATTAAACAATGAGACAAACGTGGCCATTACCTTCATGAACTCTCATTGCTCTGACATCTTTCTCTTGTGGCTCCAAAATGGTATTTAAGACTAAGAAAGATTGTTATCACTAAATCTTATTTTGGTTTTGTAGTTGAACAGGTAGTCAAACCCAAGAAAAACAAGACAGAGAGTAAAAAGACTTCAGATAAAACCAAAAGAAAGAAAAAGGAAGGCAAAAGTGGAAAACCTAGAAGAAACAGAAAGAAGAAAAATCCGTGTGATGCAGAATTCCAAAATTTTTGCATTCATGGAGAATGCAAATATTTAGAGAACGTGAAATCAGTATCATGCAAGTAAGTTTTCTTAAATTATATAGAATTCAGATTCTTTTTTTCTTCTTTTCTTCTCTTTTTTTTTGAGTGACTTTTGCTATAGAGTGTGTGCACTCGACAGAAAGACGGAGAGAGACAGAGAGACAGAAAGTGAGAAATCACCCCTCAGGGGGGATGGCCACACTACAATCCCTTCTCCTCCATTCTCCTCTCAGGATCTTGGGCATGCACGCACACGTGCCCAGCATGCAGAGAGACAGAAAGTGAGAAATCACCCCTCAGGGGGGATGGCCACCCTACAATCCCTTCTCCTCCATTCTCCTCTCAGGATCTTGGGCATGCACGCACACGTGCCCAGCATGAGTTTAAGCCACCAGCTCCAGGACTCAAACTGCGGTCGACTACATGGGAGTCCAGTGACATACCCATTACGCCAACTGCTGGTCCCTAGAATTAAGATTTCTAACACTATGTATGAAACTGTTAGCTGCAAACGACAATTTATTTTTCCAACATATAAACCAAGGGACAGTAAACTTCTTGTTAAAGGACCAGATAGTAAATCTTGGAGGCATAATGGGTCAAGATTATGAATGTTCTTATATAACCAATGAAAATGTAATAATTTAGGACAGACCTAGTAGTCTAATAGCTAAAGGAACTGGATCCCACAAGGCCAACTATGATTTGAATTCTGTCTCCAGCAGCTTGAAAAACACACTGAGTGTGTCTGTGTGCCCACAATCCTGTTCCCTAATCCCCAAAAGATGAAGTAATGGAGGAGGAGGGATAATGGCATGACTGCACCACATTTGGGGGTTGCTTTCTCTGTCTCCCTTTTCCTGTTTATCTTTCTGCCTCTGATGGATGCACAAGCCCTCTGGAATTATAAAATTAAAAAAGAAAAAAAGGGAAGAGTTTTAAAAGATGGAAATCATTGTTAGCTGGTAGGCTGTAACAAACCTGGAAAATGGTCAGATTTGACGTGTGGCCTGGAGTTTGCTGATCCCTTGTATAAACCATCATTTTATAATTTTGTAAGGTATTTTTTTTTTGAGAGGTTTTTTATAAGCCCTTTTTCTATTAAAGAACCTAAAGGTATTCTTTACATAATTGTTTATGTTTTAATTGCCTTTCCACACCTCCCCTTCCTATCTCCAAAAGCCGCTAACACGCGAAATGATAGTGGAATGTATTCACTACATAACAAGTCACTGAACTCATCAGTTGGTCATAAAAGGAGCACAAAGAATGATAAGGTGTGTCTTCTGGGAATATCACACCCAAACTAATCTCAACTTGTCTTTACTCTAATAGATCTGTAGCTAGAATGCATTCTATGCCTTCCGATTTTGAAATACAAGTATAGCATAACTTCTCTTTAATGTTGAAATTAGATGACTGTTTATGACCTAGCAAGTAAGCTTAAAATATACAGAATGCTTTAGTGATTATCATTTTAAAATGTGGATTGTTTGCAGTTGTCATCACCATTACTCTGGTGAACGATGTGGTGAAAAGATCATGGAGACTCACAGCATGGTGGACAGTGATTTATCAAGAATTGCTTTAGTCACCATCTCTGCCTTTATCTTTGTCGTGAGCGTCACAGCTATTGCCATTGTTCTTACAGTCCAGTAAGTATGGTACAACTTTTAAAAAATCCTAGTCAATTAATGGCAGGTTATTTTTTTCATATTTCTATTATCCTCTACTATCATCTTTTAGGGAAATTACTCTATTGGTTTATATATGCTCTTTGGTTCATATCTGTACACTTCATGGATGAAGATCACAATAGGGTCAAAATTGCTATTAGTTTGCCATTGTTAAAACTTAGCATGTAAAGTCCTTTTTTAAGTAGATCTACATTTTTTTTTTAACTTCAAGCCTACTGGTTTTATTTGTGCTCTACTCATGGTTAGTTCTGAATTTCAGAAAGTGTTGGTGTCTTCTGTGAAAATCTTACACTTCGGCTAGCCTCCCAAAAGCAAATTAAGGTTCATAGTATCAGACAGACTGCTTCCCTACTAAAAATCATGAATAAGTTCAAACCGTAGCCAACAAAAGATAAAACTTTTATTCATTTTGGACAGCAAAAGTATGAGTTAAGAATGTCATGACATGATATATATCTACTTAAAGGTTATGTCTGTTTTGTGGTTGTCATATATAATACTATGAGAACCCAATGACTGACAAACAAAACAAAACAAAAAATGCATCCACGTGGTGCAGAGTAGGGAGCAGGGACAATTCAATTACTATTCTGCTCCGGTGAGGTGATCAGTATCTTCTCTGTACTTGTAATAACAAATCACTTTAAGACCAATGAAAGTTAGAACTGGCCTGTCCCAGGTGGTAGGCACTTGGTCAAACAGAAGTCACTGAACAAGGGAAGTCCGGGGGGAGGCATGAATAGCTCCATGATGACTCATGTGCAACTGGAGCTTGGGAAAAGCAATGGAGTAATTATTCTAATTTTAGGTCTTAGTAAATTGTTGTAACAACTGGATTGTGTACATGGTCTACCACTGCTGCTATTCAGGAAACAAGGGGTGAGCATCTGCCATTGTTTCCTATTAGTTGTTAGATCAATTACTGATACAATGGCACGTTAAGACAAAGTATCATGCACATAAAATTTTGTGTGTAGTTTACATTTGTTCAGCATGCTCTAGAATTTATTCGGGTCTTCTAGTAACTCAAGCCAGATATGCAAATATATTTAGAAAAGATACCCTCTGAAAAACCATTATTACTTGACACAGGATAGGAGTAAAAAATGCTAGTGAAGGAAGATAAGTTACAATAATTCCTTGTAATTTATCAAGGTGAAATAGTTAATAATTCTTTAGAAAATTATGGAAAGACTTTGTCATGTTAGCACTTTAAAATTAAGCAGTGACTTTTCTCCCATACTTTCTTTGTATTTGAATCATGTAACGAACACTAAACCTAAGCCACAGTTGCTGAGTTTTATTTTGTTTCTTGAGGTGAGAATTTTCTTCCCAAATATTATAACAAAAACCAAATTATTTTAATTTTAAATGATAATATGCAGTAGATGAAGTAAAGACCTATGAAAAATAGCATTGCTTGTATGACGCCAAGAAATTTTTTAACCATTGGGTTTTTTAAAGGATAGCAATATATTAAACTAGATGGAAATGTTTCTATGTAGAAATAAACAAAGTTCAACTTGTTTTATAATCCTGTTTTTAAAATTCTAATTATTTAAATTAGTTTGGGCAAGCATCAAGTCCTTCTATGATAAAACTGTTCCATCATGTCTCCTCCAGTTGTGCATGACAGCTAGTCTAAGTTCTGCAAAAATAAATAAATAAAGACATATTGAGGTGTTCTCTGCTTTCTAAAAGTTTGCTTTTCAAGGCACATTCATGTAACTCTCAGTCCCCTAGAAGTGTGTTTATATAAAGTGAACATTAATACCCCATCAAAAAAGTACATTGGTAAAGCTGAGTTTAGATTTTATTTAGTGTTAAATACAATCCTTAATGGTCCATAAGAACTTACAAAAAGGAACTCCACGTACTTATAAAAGCCCCAAGTATAGATAAATAGAACTTTGTTCACAGTAGATTGTCTTCTTCTCCCAAGGCTTCGAAAACGGTACTTCAGGGAGTATGAAGGAGAAGTAGAAGAACAAAAGAAACTTCGACAAGAAAATGGAAACACACATGTCATAGTATAACTGAAGATAATACTAAAGGTTTGGGTTTTAAAATATGTCTTTAAATTATCTTATAATTTCCAAAAATATAACACTGTTATCTGAAGAAAAATGAGAAATGAGTTCTTAGTTAGGGCTGTACAGTGAATGATGGCTATATTAAGGTGTTTATTCTTGGAATATGAGTTCAATACTAAGAATGAACTGTATGCTTAACCAGTATTACAGAGAAACCTATTAGAGATTCTGACCCTGTTTTCAAAAAACTTAATAGTTAGCAGATAAGGAAAAGAAGCAACTGTAAGAAGCCAAAATACTAAAAGAAGTAAAATAAATGACAGAAGAGAGAAATCAATGAAGTATAAGGTATTTCTGATGAAAGGTGAAAGGAATCCAGTGGAATAGATCTAGGGAGTAGAAAAGGATGTGTACCCAAGGTGGCTTTGGAAGTAGTCCTTAGAGGATTGATGGAATTGGGACAAGCAATTACACAGGAAATGAAAGGATGACACTGTGAGATGGAGTAGATCATTTTAGAAATTTGTGGAACTTGGCCTATTTCAGTTGAGTGTTAGGGGAAATAGGTGATGATGATAGGTTGAATGTAACGATGTAGAGTGACATTTAGGGTGCTGGCGTGAGAAATACTCTTTTTTAAAAAGGAAATTTTAAGAGGGTATATAGGTTTGAGAGATAGCTTGTTCAAAAATATACGTCTATATATTTTTATTTTCTGTAAAGAGGGAGAGAGGAGTATGTTGTAAGTAGAAGGTAAGAAGGTGTGAAGGTGGATGTTTCATTGATAATGAAAGAGAAGAGATGAGGAAGAAAATTCCCAGAGAAAGAGGGAGGCAAGGTGATTGAGGAAACACTTCATTTCTGCAAACATTCAGAAAAGATCCTGTCACAGCCTTATGTCGAGTTCCTAAATTTAGTGGATTTAAAAGTTCCTTGAGATACTTGTTAAATATACATATTCCTAAACCCAACCCAATTCTGATTCTACTGAATCAGAATTCCTGTTTTTCATGAACACTCATAAAAGTTCTGATATTCAGGGAACCACTGCATTTTGTATTGGTTAAGTACTGAAGTCATGATCTGAGCCTACTACAGAATTAGCTCAAGAACTCCACAGCAATCCTGTATTCAGTACTTATTGCATTAAAATTGATAGATGTATAGACTTAATGTATTACAGCTGAGACCATCAACATGAGTAAGGTTGGACTTTTGGTTATTGTGCCATTGAGATTTCTCAACAGAAGTTCCAGAATGATTTTGGGAAAAGGAATATGCTGTGTTGGCACATAGTGGCTCCCTATTAACTGGTAGCTACTATTATTATGTCCTTGGTACTAATTATCCTAAATTAACTGTATATCATAAATACACAGAGACACTTAATCTTTGTTTTTAATTATGTCCACTGCATAGATTTGGTTAGGAAAATGATTTCTCACAACTGTGGTTGCTTTTTACTAACCAGTAGTTGAGGCAACAGGTCTGAGCATCTGCAGTCTTCTACACTTCTAGGCATATAACCAAAGGATGTGTGTGAGAGAGATTCAAGCCAAAGAGATAGTTTGTTCTCTGAAAAGATTTTAGCACTTCTCATAAGATTCTGGGAAAAAACAAAAACAACCCTGACATTCTAGAAAAAATTAATTCCTGATTATTCTTTGAAATGTTCCTGAAGTACTGTTGGAATTGAGCTTATTTCTAACACTATCTTTTATTTTCTAACAGGATATCAGATCTGAGTCACTGCCAAGGCACAACCAGAAATGAGGACTCGGTCCTCCTTTCAATGGATCCTAAGGAAGATGGACCTTTTTATTCTGATGGTTTCGAACTTTCTTTTTTTTTTTTTTTTTTTTGGAGAGGTTTTTCACTATAGTGCACGTGCGCTCGCCAGACAGACAGAGAGAGACATAGAGACAGAAAGCGAGAAATCACCCCCCAGGGGGGATGGTCACGCCACAATCCCTTCTCCTCCATTCTCCTCTCGGGATCTTGGGCACGCACACACACGCACCTGGCATGAGT